CTAATGGTTGTAACAACCTCTTCTCATTGTCTCATAAACTAATACAAAGAGTTTTGATTTCAAAGTATATTGCAAATGTATAACAAATTGCAGGGGTATTTCGAGATTGAATCCACATATATTAAATGCCACACAATAAATTTGCTAGATGTAAAATTAATCTAAGATAAGAAAAAACAAATATTGGTTTGTTCGTTTCGTTTGGAATTTAAAAAAAAAAAAGTCAATGTAAGCTATGAATTAAAAGCGTCCCACTACAAATTACATAATATAAAATCAGGCGATAAATAATTAAACATTGTTCTTAAACTTAGATCACTAATTTATGATTAAATCATTGTCGTACTATCAATTACTATTTCTAACAATCTTTGATCCTAAACTTTTTGTTTGAATTTTATGAAATTAAACATGCATTTTAGATCGAGTTTGTTCATGACGTTGTACTCATTTATGTCCTTTTAGAAACTGTAATAACACTTTTGATAAGTACATTAATCATAAGATCAAAAACTAGTTCGCAAATCAAGTTTCAGCAGTTCAATCATTTAGTAGCTAAGACTGATGAGAATCATCTATGGGTTTCTTCGACTATTGATAACTAGAATTGTTTCATCTATTGAAGAAATTCATCGATGATTCTCTATGTAACAAAAAATTCTTTTTTGCTTGATAGAGAACGAATCAATCGATTCCATTCAAGTGAGAACAATCGATATGTTTGGATATCGATCAATCCATTTTGCTTCTGGAAATTTCACAAAGTCGTGTTCAACGGAAACTTAATCATGGGATCGATCAGTCTACTATTTGCTATTATTTTTTGCGCATGCTTTTTTTGCTTGTAGAGTGAATTGTCTTCACAAAAATTGACATAACTTTTAATGGGACCGTTGAAAACTTGGAATGAGCTCAAACCACTTCAAGATAAAAACTGACTCATTTTTCTATTAGATGTCCAAAATTGAAGCTCTATCCATCGGTGAAAACAAATCTTTAAAAAATGTCAAACTTTTGACGTATCGACATGATCATGCATCTTTATAATCTCGTTTGTAACCAAAATGGTTAGTTTTCTCCAAAATGATCTAAAACCAAAAAAGTACTAGAAAAAAAACGAAGAGTATCCTTAAAAACTTAGAGT